AGGAAGGAAGGAAGGAAGGAAGGAAGGAAGGAAGGAAGGAAGGAAGGAAGGAAGGAAGGAAGGAAGGAAAGCAAGGAAATGTTTTAAACACTGGTTTGAGTTCTCATTTTGCACATTTACTAAATCAGGAGTAGTCAGTTATAGCCTTCTAAGGATGAAGACTAACTATAAATCTATATCTATATCTATATGAATAGCTATATCTTTAAAGTTAATAATAAAATTATTGCATATTTTATAATATTAATTTAACTAACATTTTTAGCTTTCCAGGGAACTAACTATTATCCCAAATGCATTGTATCTAATTTTAGTATCACTACTAAAGGATTTCCAAAAGGTACATATTAGAGAATGTATCGGAGATCATTTGGATCATTTTCCTCAATGAAGAAATGAACAAGTGTAATATTTTGACTCATATGTTGAATTTGGTTCTCTTTATATTGTTTTAGAACATATGTGCAAAGCATATCACATTTTACTCATCTTTATGCTGAAATATTGAAAATTCCAAATGGTTAAGCCAGTGGTGGGATTCACTTACCTCCCCTACCGATTCGTAAAAGTGAGCACACAAGTGCAAACTCTCGTTTCACACACCGTATCTGTGCATGCACACCGCCTTCTGTGCATGTGCAATGCTCGTGCAATGCTCGCGCATTATGTCAGGGCGGGTGGGCAGTGTCTCCCACAGCCACCACTACTAATTTGCCCAAACCGGAGAGAACCAGCTAAATACCACCTCTGGGTTAAGCCTTACTTAAGCACTGAACAATCTACAAGTTAAACCAAAACACTTGGCAAAATATTGCAGCCTAAGTTTTCAAAGGGATCCATAGGCATGGAATTCTTTTAGGATCGTGAAAATGATCACTACAGAAGCCAAATGACGCAGCAACTGCATTAACTCCATATCACATCAGCCATTTAAAGTTACCATCTGTTCTGTGCTGTGTGACCCGTGGGGGCAGATGAGTATTTTGGGGACCATGTCAGTCTTTCCCCTCAAGAAATACCAATTCTCAATCAGGAAAGAAGCCAGACTCACATGCTGAATTTTTCCAAGTTGTCGTGGGCATTACGCTTCTCTCTCTCATAGGCGTTTTCCACCTCTCTAAATTTGCCTTTGAACATTTCCAAGTCAGAGATTGCTTCTGCTTGGCTGGCCTTCTCCACTTGCAAAGCCCCTTCAAGGTCTCGGATCCGTAACTGCAAAAATCACAGGAAAACAACAATCAAGGCTACAAGAGGCTGCAGAGCTTTGCTCTGTGTCAGATCAAAACAAGGCAAGACCAAACAGGTAGGCCAAAATCATCACACACACACAAACACACACACACAAACACACAATCCCAATTGCCCAATCAGAGTGAGCTTTTGCTGCCCTTAACCATGACTCTGTTGGAGCATGATCAATAGAAAAATCAAAGCACTGAGACATATACACCAAAGTGCAAACAGTTCGAAACATTTGAAAAGAATCATATGGATCCAACAGATTCTAAATTTTATAGAGAAAACTGATGAGAAAAAATGCCTATCGGCATTGCTTAGCTTTTCCTTTTTCAGGAAATGTACGTCTTTCTTAGTTATTATTGGATGAACAGTGCACAAACAATTTTCTTTTAGCTTGGTGCTTTGTACACTGTTGTGGTGCTTGGCAATGGGGCAAAAGATCTTAATGATATAAATTACTTAGGACACAGGTTTAAACACATTCCTTCACAGGGCCTTGGTTCAGAATTTGACAGAGAACTGAGAAAGCACGTAGAATCAACATGGCAAGCCTCTCAGATTTACTTGTTCAGAAACATATACATTTCATGACTAAAATGGAAAAGAGACATGGTATCCTGTGGGCATCATTTTGCCTTGATATTTGTAGTCTGTAATCCCTCTAGAGCAAGGGGTCAAACTCAAGGCCCGTGGGCCAGATCCTGCCTACAGGTGCTTAGATCTGGCCCTCGGAGCCGCCCTGGAAACAGTGAAGGACCAGCCAGTGTTGCCTCTACCAATGAAAACGGAGCTCGGGGCCCTCATTTTTATCCTGGATGGCATCCTGCTGCTGTCTGCCAGCAGAAACAATGCTCAGGGGGGCTGTACGCGCCCCCCCCCGGCTCCATTTTTGCTGACAGAGGGCAGCAGGAGGCCATCCAGCCACAGCCATCCTGGCCACGCCCATCAATTCCCAGCCCCCCAGGTCAAACACTATCCTGATGCAACCTTCAGTGAAATTCAGTTTGACACCCCTGCTCTAGAGGTATTCATAGAACATAGAAAAATAGAATTGGAAGGGACCCCCGGGGTCTTCTAGTCCAACCCCCTGCTCAAGCAGGGGGCCCTATATCATTTCAGTTCAATGACTGTCCCTTTTGAAAGCCTTCAGTGATGGAGCACCCAGAAGCTATTTCATTCTCTAACTATTTTCTGCAGATCAGCCTGAAGAATTCAATTTAGTTCCTAGACTTGAAAGCAGGGTGTGCAGTTAGTTACAGAACTTGCATTGTGAGAATTCTGCTTCAGGATGAATTTTGAGATCATAAGTATATATAATCTTTATTGTCATTGTACTTAAATACAACAAAATTGGTCAACAGAGGAAGACAAACAGACAAATAGTGAAGAAGGCTACATAGCCCTATAGCCAACTCATCACTATTTACCATCCTTGAATCGTATTTTACAGATTTAACCTTAGGAGAATAACTGTGGATCCAGTCTGGGATGATGGCATGTGAGGCTACATCAATTTAGGACCCAATCCGGGGTGTTTAAACTTCACTTTGCTGACTGAGGCATAAAACATGTAGTCCAACATGTTCTATTTTGTTGGTTAATTGGTTACAAACCAATTGTCCAAGCACTTTCAAGGAATTTCTCTTTAAATAGGAAAACATTTCATACACAAAAGCATAACAGTAAATGTAAAATAATTAAACCTGGGCTGACTATCCAGGTGTGCAAAGAGCCTGCAATTCACTTATCGGTTCCACATGGTGCTTTCTCAATTTACCTGAATTATTTCAGAATTAAATTTGGATTCCAGATGTGCAGCCCTCTCTGCCTCGATGTTTTCCTCCAGTTTTTTTACTCTGGCCATAGCTAGCTGTTAAAAAAATAAAAGTTAAGAAGAGGTTAACATCGCCCACACCCACACACCCACCCCTCAAGTGCTTCTCGAAACTCTCAGCTTCAAAAGTACGACTAATATCAATCCAAACTTTGCTCAACTGCATTGGCTCCTAACTACTTCCAGATTGATTCATGTTCTGTGAAGTTTTACAAGGGCCACATTCGGCATACCTAAGTGATCTTCTCATATATAAATCAGCAGATATTTGTTTCATAAGAACTTTATTGCCTGGAGGTATTCTCAGTGGGTGGTGCCATAGTAGTAGAAATATTCAGAATCCAGTATCCTACAAATAGACTGCTCACAAACGCCTTTGAAACTATGCCATTTTAAAAGGCCGTCAAAGTTCCTTATTTTGCCTAACTTTGGCCTCTACATGGCTTGTGACATTTTCTCTAGGGTGGCCATGTTTTTAAACCAGTTTTTATTATAAATTATAATTAATATCTGTGTAAAACAATTCAGAGGAGGCCTTTGAGAGAACCAGTAAAAGGCCCTTGAAATATACTGCTTGATGCACAGTTCACTTCAGCAGGATGGTCAAATCATCAATTGTCCTTGAACCCATACAGGTATTCGTCGATTTGTGACCCTCAACTGAGCCCAACATTTATGTAGCTAAGCAAGACAGTTGTTGTGAGCTTTGTCCCATTTTACGACCTCTACTGTTACTGTTGTTAAATGAATCACTGCAGTTGTTCAGTTAGATTTATTTAACATATTTGTTAAATAAACTTGGCTTCTCAGTTGATTTTGCTCGTCAAAAGGTAGCTAAAGGTGACCACATGACCCTGGGACACTGCAACTGTCATAAACCCATGCCCATTGCCAAGTGTCCAAATTTTAATCACATGACTAAACAAACGGTCGTAAGTTGAGGACTTCCTATACCCATGATGACGAACAAGTGGCACACGGAGCCCTCTCTGTGGGCATGCGAGCCGTCACAACAGGTCAGCTCCACTACATATGCGCGCACACCTCCTGCTGGCCAGCTAATTGTCGGGTCTCTACCGTGCATGCGGGAGACACACACGCATGTGTGTGGAGTAGGGGGAGTTGCTTGTGCATTCACAGGGGAAGAGTGGAGAGAGCGGCGTGCCCCCCACGCCCCATTTTTGGTCCCAGGAGACTTCAGGGAGGCCTGCTAGCCCCAAAATAGGCCACGGGGGTGTGTGCAGGCCTCCCACCGGCCAGCTGATTGCTGGATCTCTACCGCGCATGCGTGGGAAGTGGGGAGGACACCCACGCATTCACGGGGGAAGTGGGGGGGTATGGTGTGCCCCCCCATGACCCATTTTTGGTCCCAGGAGACTTCAGGAAGGCCTGCTAGGCCCAAAACGGGGCGTGGGGGTCATGAACGCATGCACGGGGGGCAGGAGCAGGGGGAAGGGTCCCGCACGCATGTGCAGGAGAGGGGGGTGTGGGCACACATGTGCATTCTGTCAATCGTGTGCGCTGTTGTTCGCGTGCGTTTTCGGCACAAGAGGACAAAAAGGTTAGCCATCACTGTCCTATACACTCATAACATATAGCAGTTCTTGTGGTGACTACTCTGGCCGTTTGAGAGGATGCTGGTTTTAGAGCCTTTCAACGGTCATTTTGAACAGTTGCTTCCATGAAATACACCTCTAAATGATTTACACAGCCTCCATCCATACTGCATAGGGGTAATCCTTGTTGAACAACATTCAATGACTTTTCAAATTTAGGACAGTGCTGAATGAGGAAGACTTATGACAGGTCCTCATTGTCACAGCCATTACAGCATCCCCACGATCACCTGATCATAATTTGGGTGTTCAGCACCTGACACACAGTTATGACATTGCAGCATCCTGCAGTCGTGATCACCATTTGAGACCTTCGCTGCTGACTTCGAACAAGCAAAGTCAATGGGGAAACCTGCAGGAAATCACTAACAGCAAATCACATGACCACAACACACTGCAACCGTACAGGATTTTCATAATGAAGTCAAATGGAACTGCTGCAATCACCATTGTAAGTTGGCACAGTCATATAACATCAGCCTTTACAACCAGGGTGCTTAGCAACAAAGTTGCCACTCTCAATTACCATCTTGAAAGGATGACTACCTGTCCTCTTGCAGAAAGTTTAACGAAGGGATAAGCAGGACAGAACAGAATAACAGAGTTGGAAAGGACCTTGGAAGTCTTCTAGTCCAGCCCCCTACTCAAGCAGGAGACCCTATACATTCCGGACAAAGGGCTGTCCAGTTTCTTCTTAAAAACCTCCACTGATGGAGCACCCACAACTTCTGAAGGCAAACCGTTCCACTGGTTAATTGTTCTCACTGTTAGGAAATTTTTCCTTAGTTCTATGAGCTATGAGCTAACAAATGAATAAAGAGACTTTTACTACAAAAATCCCCTTCCAGAGTAGATTGCTTGAAATTTTATTCCCAGTTTTTCTTTGAAAAAAAAAATTAAGATTCTCTGGCTCTTCTAAAAGAAACAGATGAACTGTTCTGACACTGATTTGTCTGAAAAGGCATAAGGTTTCCTGACTGAGCAGAGGGTTGGACTAGAAGACCTCCAACATCCCTTCCAACTCTGTTTTTCTGATAACTTACTCTGATAACATTCATTCTAGTTAAAACATGCTCATCTAAACACATTAAGACCCATTATTTCTTCCAGCACCTAATGGTACCATCAACATTAAGACACTGGGGTAAAAAATAAAGACTTTTATCTATAAAGTCAATGCAGAAGTTGTTTGGCAGCATGTGCTAACTTCAATAAAAAGAACGTCTAGAAGCCAGGAAGTGATATTTTTATTTACAACATATTTCTTTTTTATAGGATTTTGGCAGGTAAATAAATCAAATTAGGATTCCAGTTCCAGATAACTGAGCTGGTAGCCTCTTGATTCATAAAACATAATAACCTAATAATTTATTCAGACTATAAATTCTTATCTCCTCCACATAAACTTTTAAAATATTTCCTTCATCTCATATTTCAGATTACGTTTAGTCCATACATAATAAAAGCTACGGTTCAAAACCAAAAAAGAAAAAGAAGCAAAAATTAAGCCAAGAGTGTGTGAAATGCAAATTGCATATCAGCAATTTTCTGGTTCTAATAGAGATAAGGATGCCTGAAAATGTATAGACTGAAAAAATGTTAAGCCAAGGAATCAAGGTTACATGTTCTACAATTGACCTCAAAAACCACTAGAGGGCACCAAAGGAACACTAACGCTAAAACAACATTTTCCTTTTGGTATCAGATTGACATGTGCTGTGTTTAAAAATATCTTAATTACCTAAAAGAAAAATAATACCCCATACTCAGATTAGCCTCTTCTTGGAAAATTTAGAGGGCTTTCCACATAAGGTTGGGCAACTGCTATCTCAAACTGCTAGGATTTATTATTTAATGCCTAATCTTTTCCGCTCTTCAGTATAACCACAAGCCATTTAATTTCATCTCCTTTGTAATTCCAGACTTTAAAGATTTTTCCTAATTCAATATTAGCATAATAAAAAGGCTTTTTTATTGTTCTTTTTTTAAAAAAAATATCCCTGAACTGTGTAGATCAGTGGTCTCCAACCTTGGCAACTTTAAGACTTGTGGACTTCAACTCCCAGAGCTTTGCTGGCTGAGGAATTCTGGGAGTTGAAGTCCACAGGTCTTAAAGTTGCCAAGGTTGGAGACCACTAGCGTAGATCCATAGGCCCAAGCAAACTAGTTGCTCACTAAAAAAAAAAAAAAAACCCTCTCCGGGGACTCTAATTTTTTTCCAAACAAACTTTTGGGCAACCTTTTTTTTTTTTCCTCTCCTTTGTAATTCCAGACTTTAAAGATTTTTCCTAATTCAATATTAGCATAATAAAAAGGCTTTTTTATTGTTCTTTTTTTTAAAAAAATATCCCTGAACTGTGTAGATCAGTGGTCTCCAACCTTGGCAACTTTAAGACTTGTGGACTTCAACTCCCAGAGCTTTGCTGGCTGAGGAATTCTGGGAGTTGAAGTCCACAGGTCTTAAAGTTGCCAAGGTTGGAGACCACTAGCGTAGATCCATAGGCCCAAGCAAACTAGTTGCTCACTAAAAAAAAAAAAAAAACCCCCCTCCAGGGACCCAAATTTTTTTCCAAAAAACATTTTGGCCAACTTTTTTTTTTTTTTGGGGGCAACTAGTTTGCTTGGGCCTTTGGATCTACGCTAGGGGTTTCCAACCTTGGCAACTTTAAGACCTGTGGACTTCAACTCCCAGAATTCCTCAGCCAGCAAAGCTCTGGGAGTTGAAGTCCACAAGTCTTAAAGTTGCCAAGGTTGGAGACCACTAGCGTAGATCCATA